TTTTTTTTTTTTTTTTTTTTTTTAATTCAGTCCATTTATTTAAATGTATATTGTACGTAAGTTACAAATTCTCATTTCTGCCACTCTGCTAGAACTTTTCTGGATAAGCCTCCATTTCTTCCTTGATCCTGTGTTTTACAAGTAATGTGAGGTTACTATCTGTGTTTTGAAGGTTATAGCTGACAAACATCTGTTTGTTGGTCTTCCTGGCTAAGTGCCGGGTAAGATCAGTGGAGGTCATGCCACAAGTGTCTCTGAGGAGGGAGGAGACACAGGGATGGAATCGTAGTGGCTGCACAGGGCCACGGCGAGGTTGCACAGGTGCGGCATGGCCCCCACCCACAGGAAGAGCCAGTGTGTCAGCCACATGACGTGGAAGTGGACGAGCTGCTCTCACAGCCTTGTGCTGAAGTTGTGCAGGGAGATGTCCCAATCTGGGGTGGCCCCTCCATGCTGCCCGTTGGGCCCAGGACCACAAGCACCAAGACCCCGGCCCCCCACCACCATCACTGGCCCAACCAGACCCTAGCAAGTGAGCCAACATGCTTTTTATAAAAGGCGGGGTTTTTTTTTTTTTTTTGGAGAAAATACTCTTACTTTATATATACATACACACATATTTTAATATATATATATTTCCGTAATCTGAGACCGGTAGGAGGAGATGTTGGCTCCCACATCGGGCTGTGGAGAAACCATTCTCAGGTACATGGGATCATTCATCGCTCCTTAGGCCTCTGTCTCCCCTGCCTGTGCACAGGGCTGGCTGCTGCCGCAGGCGGCGGGCTCCTCCCGTATCTGATGCTCAGTCATCATTCATATGTTTACTGTTATCTGTCCGTGTATCTGTTTCTCAGAAGTAGCTTTTTGTTTTCCTCTTGCAGTTAGTGCTTACAGATTGTAGCTAAAGTAGGAGCGTGAATGCCAGCTCCCCTTTCCACCCTTTTTGAGTCTTCTTCCTAGTTACCTCTTTCCACCGCTAAAATGTTTAAGCACGTCAATCAGAATGCAGCTCTCTGTCTTTTCTCTCTCAGAGGAGATTGCATTTAGTAACACCATTTAAAAAAATCTTGAGTGACCTCATAAAACACTAATGTTTGAAGAGGAACGCTCTCACCTTGTCAGCGTGGAACGTTGGTGTATTTTAGGGAACAGAAGTCTTCACTGGTGTTCTGCTGAAGGGGCCGGTGTGTTTTAGTCCAGGCGCAAACGACTAGTTCTGTCCAGTACTGTGTTATTCTCTCTGATGACCAGCCTATGTGTTTGGTTCTGTAATAGGTGATCTGTGCAAATCCCCTTGGCTTTGCATCTAGCCTTGAAGCATTATGAAGCTGTTAGCTCTGTCGTGTTTTTGGTGATCATGTCCACAAAATCTATCCTGTGCAATTCAGAATGAGTTTATCTTATAGTTTCAAGGATCCTAATTTGTCACTGGGGTTGGAGACTTTTGTTATAGCAAGGATTAAACAACACCCCACATGGGTTCACTAGCAAAGCAGGCCTGGCTATCAACATCCTACACACAAAAATCAGCAGTCCCCCTTTTTTTTTTTTTTTTTCCAATCTCATAATCTATTACCTAGCTGACTCTTAAAACCTTACAAAAGAGGAGATAGCATCCTGACTTGAGAGGGAGCTAGGGGAAGATGTCTTATAAAAATGCACTTCTCTTTGTAGAAAAATGAGCTGCTCACTCCCTTACCGCTGATCTGATCTATGAGGTGCCGCTGCAGGCGGATTCCCAGACCGCTGGTTGCCAGCATTTTGAGTGTGATCCTAATGAGCTCATGCCTGCAGAATTCAGTCCTCGTGCACACCATCAGGCTTGTTCTGCTTTGGCAGGCTTTGTGCATGGTGCTTAGCTTTGTTCTCGTAGAATACGTGCTCTTGGTCTTGGAAGAAAGCAAGTGGAAGAGGAGGGTTTGCGCAGACCTGTACAGCTGTCACTATTTCAGTAATAACCAAAAGCTTGTGTTAATGTTCGGGAAAGTCCTTTGCAGAGGTGTTCCCAGGCAAGTGAAGTCATAGTGCGGCTAGAATTCTTGTGTGCGTCATCTTGCTGTTCCTCAAACTCAGCATGCTTATTCCTGCTTCCCTGCTTTACCGCCCCTCACCCGTTATCATCTCTGCTCCATTTTTCTCATCTAGAAGTGTGAGTCCAGACCTATTTGTTCCATGAGGCCTTTCTGACTGCACCGTGTTGTCGCTCATCTTCTCCGGGGTCTCCACACTCTGCTACCCGGCCGCTCTTCCTTTTTAGCCCTTCCTGTAAAATTGTCATCCTAACAGCTACACAAAGAACACCTGCTAGACCAGAAACCTTTCTTTGATTCTCTTGCACTGTCAGGCATATGTTGTGATGGGTACGTGGTAAAAATCTTTTGCTTGATGATGCTAACTACATTGTGAGTCACTGCACTATGATCATCATGCATAATGGAAACACTCAATATTTTCCCTCATGACAGAGCTAATTTTTTAAGCTTTAGTATTTTGTCATTGACAGAAAAATGTAATACAGTTTTGTATTCCTGTACGTAGTATTCCTAATCCTATGTAAATTCCTAAAATGATTTTTTAAAGCATTCTTTCTCTTAAAATCGGCAAACCAAATACACTGTAGGAGACCATTTGGTGCAGTCAGGAGAGTTGATAGAAGAGTAACTTCTTGGGGAGAATCCATCTAGTGGCCCCACTTTAATAATCCAGGTGACTCAGTTGAGAGAGGAGCCCCACTTCTCTAGGCTGTGACTCTTCCCTGGTGCCTGTCCATCAGCATCATTTCCTATGACATCATTGCCTTAAATGACACCTTGGGGAAAATGCGTCTTGTAGGGACACTACAGTGACTCAGATACTCTGTATACAGAGAAATTCTAGCGGCTGTGGGTTTTATCTTTGACACATTTTGCCTTCATGGTCTTTGAAATTGTAATTACTTTCCAAAATCAATAATTGGCATTTGTATTGATTTTCATCAAGCTCAAATTTTATGTGTGTGTGTGTGTGTGTGTGTATGTATGTACACATGCACCTGTGGGGAGAGAGGTATATATATCTCCACATATCTCTATCTGTCTGTCTATTTATCCATCTATTTATCTATCCAGATCTATATATTTATGTATCTATATGCCAGTGGTTCCTAAATTTGATCCCTGTCTAGTGACTACATTGAAGCCACCTGAAAAATTAAAATACAGATTCCCTATCACTGCAGAATCTATACAGCATTCTTTTTTACTCTGTTAGACTGCTTTTTTGTATTTCCACTAACAGTGGCAGTCTATTTTGTAGAGGTTAGGAGTGAACGCTTTGGAGTCCCACAGACTGGGTTTGAGTTCTGACTCTGTCATTTCCTGTTTATTTGACCTTCTGCAAACCCTGCCACTTCTTCTGTAATATGGGGATGGGAATTTCTGCCTCCCAAGGTTGAAGTGGGTATCAAATAACAACATGAGCGGCGACAAACCACGGTGTCTGGTGCGCTGTGGAGCGCCTCGATAAATGGTGACTAGTTTTCTTCCTGTCCCTACACTATACATATTTTGGTGTGTTGTTTTGTGCATTATTTTTCTCATATCTTTGGGATATTCATAGAAAATTTCAGAGAACTCTGTAAAATCAAACAGGAATTGGTGTAATTTATTTCTTTGATTGGAAAAGAAGGAATTGATTATTCAAAGAGTCTAGAGTAGGATCTTCTGACAGGGGGTGTGGCAGATTTCTTCAGCTGATTCCTAAATGACTAGTTTCAGTGTTGAAATTACTGTTTTTCTCCAATCAATTTGCAGCTGAGATAAAAATCTGTTTCAAATACTACCACGGCATTAGCGGAGCCCTGCGAGCCACGACCCCCTGCATCACCGTGAAGAATCCTGCTGTGATGGTGAGTGCCCCTCATTGCCGGCTTCCTCATGAGGTCCCCCCGGGCCCTCAGCTTCTATTTTTGCCAGTGCAGCTCTGGCAGGGTTATGAGGAACGATGAAAAAGGAAACACGCAACAGCGTGGGCACTGTTGTAGGAAAGGAAATAACTTACAGGCTGGCTTACCTGGATCCATAATACGAATCGTGGAAAAATATGATTTGATTTATAACAATTCTGCAAATGGTCAACTCTTCAGAGAACCCATTCATGAAGCAAATTAGTGAGTATGCCATCAAATTTAGTCTTAAACTCGGTCTAAATTTAGTCTGGGTGACTGGTTGGGAGGAAATGGTGGCATTGCATCTTACCTGAGTTTAATTTACATGAGCTCAGTGAGTAAGAGGGGAAAATAGCAATTCAAATCCTGTGTGATTCTAGGGGCGCCTGGGTGGCGCAGTCGGTTAAGCGTCCGACTTCAGCCAGGTCACGATCTCACGGTCAGTGAGTTCGAGCCCCGCGTCAGGCTCTGGGCTGATGGCTCAGAGCCTGGAGCCTGTTTCCGATTCTGTGTCTCCCTCTCTCTCTGCCCCTCCCCCATTCATGCTCTATCTCTCTCTGTCCCAAAAAAATAAATAAACGTTGAAAAAAAAAATTAAAAAAAAAAAAAAATCCTGTGTGATTCTACCCGCAGTCGTCTTTACAAGCTTTCACTCCAAAGAGTGTGAGATGGGGATCATGCATGTGCTATTTCCTCAGGAGGTCTGAGCACCAGATTCCTAGATGCTGAGTTGGGCGCTAGAGCCTAAATATACCACACATTTTTAGTATAACATGGCCACTCAACGGAAGTCCCCCTCTTCACCAGGCCCTCAAGTGAAGAAAGAGATGCCTGATTTAGTTTGGAAGGAAACTGGTTGTGTTAGACTTTTGCAGGCAAGTATATATATACGTTTTCAACATGGTACTTTCTGAAGGTTTATTTTTCACAATTTTGTGGTTTTTCACTCCATTGACTAAATTTAGAATCTAACAGCTTTGTAGTATGTACTCATTGTAGATGGGTGGTTGGGTTCAGGTGGTTTGGGGAGATTCTTAGAGTCTAAGATATGTAAAGCATTGGAGGTTTAATAAGCCATTAATAAAAATCAGATCATGAAAGCAAAGAAGAAAAATATTGACTCCCACAATATAGAACCTTTATCACAGTGTGTGTGTGTGTGTGTGTGTGTGTGTGTGTGTGTGTGCACGCACATGTGTATTGTGTACGTGTGCATTTACAGATGCAAGCATTTTTGGAAATAGGCAAGTAGTCATGTTGACTCCCTGAAATTCAGAAAGTAATCTCTGCAGGTGGCATTTTGAACCAACAACGGTATATCATGAAGTCTTTCCTTTTCATTTATTCACTCAAACAAATATTCATTGGGTACCTGCTAAGTACCAGCCGTTGCACTCACCATTGGGGATGACATGACAAGCAAAAACTCAGTCCTTTCTTTCACTGGTCTGGTGGGTACAAGAGACATCACTAAATTAATTTATGTTTATTTGAGTGATAATTGCTGTGAGGGGGAGTAAAATGGGGCTATGAGGGCACATACTAGTAGAATTTATCCTGATCAAGTAGGTCTTGGAAGGCTTCCTTGAAGAAGGAAGATTGTTTGCACGACAATCTGAAGGATGAGTAGGAGATACTTAGGTGAAGAGGTGGGGTGGGGGCGGGGTGGGGGGAAGAGCATTTCAGGTAGTGGGAATAGTATTTGCAAAATCTTTAGTATCCAAATATTCTACTTGCATTTGAATTATATTTGAGTTCCCATGTAGTAAACATAATTTAGAATTTAAAAGAATAATCCACATTTATTATACAAGACTCTGAAGGTCACCAGGAGAATAACAGTCATTGATTACAAAATCTGCCATGTCACATACTAAGCGGTGGAATGTGCTTCAATTGCTATTCTTTTTTTTTTTTTTTTCAACGTTTATTTATTTTTGGGACAGAGAGAGAGCATGAACGGGCGAGGGGCAGAGAGAGAGGGAGACACAGAATCGGAAACAGGCTCCAGGCTCTGAGCCTTCAGCCCAGAGCCCGACGCGGGGCTCGAACTCACGGACCGCGAGATCGTGACCTGGCTGAAGTCGGACGCTTAACCGACTGCGCCACCCAGGCGCCCCATCAATTGATATTCTAAAAAGAAAAATTACAAAAGTGGAAAAGTGAGGTCTTTAATAATAGAACCTTTGAAAAATTAACTGTGTGTGAAATTAGACAATAACTTCCAAACATGATTTTCTAGATTCAGATTTTATTAGACTTGAGCAACTTAAGTGATCAGATATCACTGAAGGCAGCAGGGTTTTACAGCGTAGTGAACACTGGTCTCATTCCATTGATTTTGCATTGAGATTACTCTGTCAAAGCCTGTGGATAGTTTGTAGATAATTAATTTTCTTCAGACAGCTTTTAGAGAACCATCAAAGCTTCATAGATATAGCTCTGGCACTCAGAATAGAATATTTCTGTTCAAAGGGTGACAATAATGGAATTGGTGGTCAATAGATTTCTGACCCAGCTGAGACAATTGGGTGTATGTCCAAAATTGGAAGTCTGGGGGACACCTCATGGTGGGGATAAGTGCTGTGCTTCCATGATAGTCACCTAGTTATATGACATGTGTCTAGTTATTGTGACTGATTGACAACATTGATATTTTAGTTTGATTATTCTATGACCATATGCAAAGAATAGCCCTGGAGGAAGTGTCTGAGCACCTCTCTAGGGAAGAAAATGAACTGCCATCATCATCTTATGGCCTCCTTTCTCATATATCCTTTTGCAATGAATCAAGGATTTTAAAAAAGTTGCGTCTTGTCTGTCATTTGTACTTTGACGTCATTGTCATTCATCAGAGTACTCAGTGATACGTGTCTCTGACACTTGGAACAGGAAATCCTTTGGCTTCGGGGACAGATAAAGGCTAGCATCACTCACTACCATGTATTGTTTCAACACTTGGTTGTCAGTGTTCCTTCTGGGTTTTCCTGGAATGAATCTGTGGCGTGAGTTTATTTAAAATCTCTCTTTAAACATTGAGTGCAGATGTGTTTCTTATCACCGATGTTCCTGTATCTAGTGATAATGTTTGGTCTTTCCTGGCTTTCTTGTCACAAATGATGAATTGAATTCATGAGTATTACTTCAGAAGAGCATTTGTCTCAGTTGTAGTACAGGACGCTATCTGTGAATTCTCTGAGAGTTGTTTCACATTAGCTTTTGCCAGACAGTGGTTTATATTTTTAAAATGAGAATTTGAAGGCATTTTCTTGTGTTTCTGTAATATCTTATAACATTTCCAACACGTTTAAATGAAGACTGACCATGAATCTTTTTCATCTCCTTTAACTCACTTAGCATCGGTGTAGCTTAGCAGGAAGAGACTTCATGTTTTTGGAGGGAACACATCTTATTGGGCAGTGTGGTCCATTTGGTGGGAAGCTATGGTTTATCAGGCTGTACTCAGGACTTGGAGGGCAGGTTGCTGAGTGTCTGTCTCACAGCAGTCTGTACCACCTCACGCTGTTCATTGCTTTATGGTCCAGGGATGTGTGTGGTGAAAGCAGGATGAGACAGAGACAGCCATCCGTTATCTGGCCAGTTTGCTGCTGTGTCTTTTCCGATTAAACTGGGGATGGTGAGTCAGAGAGAAACAACGCAATATGGTAAACTTTACATACTTGTTGAGAGTCAATCCAGAGTTATCACAAAGTTGGTTTTATGGATGAAATAAATTAAAGATACCTGGATGATACCCTATTATACTGCAGATGACGTTTGAAAGCATCAGGAATCAGTGAAGTGCCATGCAAAATAGTTTTGATTAAGGTACAGGAAGTAGAGGGGCACCTGGGCGGCTCAGTCGGTTAAGCTTCCGACTCTTGATTTCAGCTCAGGTCATGATCTTATGGGTTCGTGGGATTGAGCCCCACATTGGGCTCTGTGCTGACAGTGCAAGACCTGCTTGGGACTCTCTCTGTCTCCCTCTCTGTCTCTCTCTCTGCCCCTCCCCAACCTGTGTGTGCACACTCTCTCCCTCAGAATAAATAAATAAACATTTAGAAAAGGAGAAGGAAGTAGAAACTTATATTTCAAAATTTGAATAGAATTTATTTAAAAAAATTTTTTTAACGTTTATTTATTTTTGAGACAGAGAGAGACAGAGCATGAACAGGGGAGGGTCAGAGAGAGAGGGAAACACAGAATCTGAAACAGGCACCAGGCTCTAGCCATCAGCACAGAGCCCGACGTGGGGCTTGAACTCATGGACCGAGAGATGACCTGAGCTGAAGTCAGATGCTCAACCGACTGAGCCACCCAGGCGCCCCTGGAATTTATTTTTAAATTGTTCAACTTTGCTTGGATTAGTAAAGTTTTATTTCTTAGAAGTATATGAAGTTAAAAAATTGAAGGATAGTTAACATACAGTATTATATTAGTTTAGTGATTCAACAATTCTATACGTTACTCAGTGCTCATCACATTAAGTGTACTCTGTAATCCCCATCACTTATTTCACCCATCTCCCCATCCACTTCCCTCTGGTAACCATCAGTTTCTTCTCTATATTTAAGAGTCTGGTTTTTTGTTTGTCTTTCTTGTTGTTGTTTGTTCATTTGTTTTGTTTCTTAAATTCCACATATGAGTGAAATCACGCTGTATTTGTCTTTCTCTGACTGTCTTATTTCATTCCGCATTATAGTCTCTGGATCCATCCATGTTGTTGCAGATGGCAAGATTTCATTGTTTTTATGACTGAGTCATGTTCCATGTTCCATTGTATGTATGTGTGTGTGTGTATATATATATATGTGTGTGTGTGTGTGTGTGTGTATATATATGTCTATATATATATATATATATATATATGTCACACTTTCTTTATCTATTCATCTATCAGTGGACACGTGGGTTGCTTCCATATCTTGGCTATTGTAGATAGTGTTGCAGTAAACATAGGGGTGCATATATCTTTTCGAATTAGTGTTTTCATTTTCCCTGGGTAAAAGGCCAGTAGTGGAATTACTGGATCATCTGGTAATTCTCTTTTTAATTTTTTGAGGAACTCACATACTGTTTTCCACAGTGGCTCTATCAGTTTGCATTTGGTGGTGTATGATTTTTTTTTTAAATTTCTTAATCTTTATTTATTTTTGAGAGAGAGAAACACAGAGTGTGAGAGGGGGAGGAACAGAGAGGGGGAGGGAGACACAGAATCCAAATCAGGCTCCAGGCTCCAAGCTATCAGCACAGAGCCGACATGGGGCTTGAACTCAGCAACTGTGAGATCATGAACTGAGCCGAAGTCAGATGCTCAACCGACTGAGCCACCCAGGCGCCCCAATGGTGGTAGATGATTTTTTAAAAAGTGAGGGAGTGCGGCAAAATTTAGATGGAAGGGTTTAATCCAAAGTTTAGAATTAATATGTGGTCTCTGTTTCCCAATTATTCAAAATATATTCTGCCTCCAGTTCAGTCTCTTACAGCGTTGTGGGCTTCTTTGTTAGAGAACTGGGAGACCTTTTTTTTTTTTTCCTAGTGTACCATAAGTGGAGCACTTACTTGTACATTAATTGAGAGAAAAGCTAAATTTGCCATACTTGGTGGTCCATAAATGACAGGTTTCAAGTGAGATAGCCTTTACAAAAACTTTTACAATACAATAATCAGTACAACAGCACTGCAGACTCTTACAACTGCTAATTATAATAGCTGTGCCATGTACCTGCAGCACAGTAAAATAGGAGTCTACGAGGGCAGTGGGGCATCCACATGGTGACTCAGAAATATTTGGCAGGTAATTGGAGGGTAATTCTACATATATGTGGAAGAGTTTGAGAAAAATCACCTGTTTAGTTTATTCTGTTTTCCTAGCAAATCTAAAGGAATCTGGTGTTTGGTTTTTAACTGAAAGGAACATTTTAATATAGTAATAGTAATGTAAGTACATTCACTACATATCAGCTATATTCTTATCAAAGAAGTAAAAGGACATAAAGTAGGTTGATTCCTGTCCCAGGAAATTTAGAAGTTCATATTGGTTTCATTTGGGGTAATGATTTAAATTTAGGTGTGACTCTTTCTCTCGTCTCTGAAAATATGCATTTTTATGTGTCTGGATTCCAAGATTTATAGTATATGAAAGGCATATACTACAATGCATGTTTGATACAAAAAATCATCACATTTGTAAATATATGTGGTTGCCTAAGCACGTTGGGTACCATCATACTCCTGTGAAACTTCAAATATGTGCTTTTCCTCTGCAGATGGGGGCAGAAGGCATGGAAGGAGGTGCTTCCGGAAATCAGCATTCTCGGAAACTCGTCAGCTTCACGTTGTCAGGTAAAGGTGTCTTTAAACGTGATGTCCAGTTTGAAAGTGTATAATTTCAAAGGCATGAATAGTTACTTCTGTCTATAGATTCTTTTTTTAATTAAAAAAAATTTTTTTAATGTTTATTTTTGAGAGAGAGTGAGCAGGGGAGGGACAGAGAGAGAGAGGGAGACACAGAATCTGAAGAAGGCGCCGGGCTCTGAGCTGTCAGCACAGAGCCTGACATGGGGCTCGAACTCATGAGCTGTGAGATCATGACCTGAGCTGAAGTTGGACGCTCAACCGACTGAGCCACCCAGGCACCCTTACAGAGTCTTACATATGATATGTGAACTATTTATTTTTTTTGGTAAAAGTTCTGGAAATTCAAGTATATTTCTTACCATGAAAAAATTAGGCTACTAATATAAACTCAGAAATTATTTCTTCCAGGTTTTCTAGTGATAAAATGACTGTAATTATATACAGTTACTTAAAAACAACACTGTAACATATGCTATCCCTACTGGAGAACTTTAGTTTTGAAAACCATGTATGTGCTTAGCTCATCTGAAGAAAGGAAAATATTGGAGACTAGGAAAAATAAGCCAAGGTTACTCCTCCTATTTCTGTGGAGAAATTCACATAAAAGTTGGAAAGCTGATAAGGCAACTTTTTTGTTTATTTTCTGATTAAGGAAATATTCTAATTGCTTGTTTATGAAAATGTGCTGCTTTTCAGATTGTGAGTTAGAACTCATCTGTGTTTTGTAAGTTTAATTTAGTTGAATCCAACAGTTCAAAAAAAGAATGGGGGAAAAATCAGAGTTTTTCACCAAAGGGAAATATTTTTTCATAGAACATCAGTTTATACAGACTGAAAACTTTCACACACAAAATATACCCACACCTATGTATGTGTATACTGGGTTTCAGAATAAAATATATTTCATATGTAGATCACGGTCAAAAACGTTTGAAAGCTACTGATTTTAAAAAAAATAATTGGCAGTCATAAAGTCAGGAAGACACTAAGAAAATCAGTCTTTGAAATGAACTTTTAAAACAGACAACTGTGCTATGACACATATAAAATGCAGTCTAACAGATGTCTGTCACTAAAAGATGTTTTGTTTTCATTTTTCCATTGGTGCAGTGCTTCTAAATTTTAAATTAGATTCACTTTTCTTGGCTGCAAAAAGTATTGTGGATGAAAATTGACATCGTCAAGAGTGAGAGAAAACTGATCTTGAGAACAAACATTTCCATGATGTATAATTACCACATATGATGAAAGTGTGCACATTAGTTCATTGCTGGCCCATGGCCTTCCAGAGTATCTATTTCTGTTCTAGCATGTTCCTACTCCCCTATATGAGTTTACTTACTATGAAAGCCTTTTTTTGCCTTTGGTTCTCTGGTGGATCTCAGAAGTTGTAAACTGGTGGCTTATGGTTCAGTTCTGGCCAAGAAGTATGTTTTGGTTGGAACCCTCAGGTTTTAAAACATTTCTAGGTTTTTAGAAGCGCACTTTGAAGTTCCACTGCCAGTGGAACTTACCCTTACCCTCAATGTCTGTGTGTCTCCTGGAAGCATTTATTTGGCTCTGCTTTAGACCTTCACAGTCTTGAGGGGTTGCAGGTACAGAAATCCTTCGTGTATTGGTAGGGAACAGTTAGCCCACCTCCATGGTTACTTTAATCATACCATGGTCTTCTTAGTTTAGACGCATTGCCTTAAGCTTCCAAGTGATCAATATCATTCCAATTAACAGAGATGTTAATTAATTCACTGCAGGAGAATGACCAGCTAGAACTTGAAAACCCCAGGACGTTTTCCTAAAAAGTAGGAAATAGCTTTGGGGCATCACCAGATGCTTCTTCTTTAAATATAATTTCTTCCAACATCCCACCTCAGTACACAGGGTGGCTGGCTACTTTATATCTGTTTTACTTCCTAATGTATGGTCAGATATTTGCAGATGGTGTACAGAAGTGACTAAAAATTATATAAGATGAAAGCAGTTCTATAATGGTAATTCTGAACAACTAATCCAGTTATAGCATATTGACAGTGATAATAGTGTTTAGCGAAGAGCATTTAAGCATTGTAGAATGTCTGCCCGCAAATGTTCTACTCTTGATTCTCTGTGGTAAGTAGGGACACGAATTAGTGAATTCTACAGCTAAAACAAAAGCTGTTTGTGTTTTTTTTTTTTTTTTAATTTTTTAATGTTTATTTAATTTTGGGAGAGAGAGACAGAGGCGCAAGCGGGGGAGGGGCAGAGAGAGAGGGAGACACAGAACCCGAAGCAGTCTCCAGGCTCTGAGCTGTCAGCACAGAGCCCAAGGCAGGGCTTGAACTCACGAACCATGAGATCATGACCTGAGCCAAAGTGGGACGCTTAACCAACTGAGCCACCCAAGTGCCCCCAAAACTGAGTTTCGGTTACTATCTTAATCCTCTTCTCCAAATAAGACTTTAAACTAGGGTATTTAGCATGTCATACTTTTGTGACTTTGAGGTCTTAGTTGATCTATTAGGTGATGCAGACATTTATGAGCAGTAAAATATATAAAAGACAAAATGGGGAAGCCAGAGCAGAAATGAGATGGATAAAGGAACAGAATAATCAGACTACAAATAGTTGGTAGATTCTTATATTTATTAATGAAGATTTATTTGTGCAGCATTCCTTGTGGAAAAATTTGATATGAGGGTTATTTAATAGTGGCGTCTTTCATCACAGTGGCGTAATCTTCTGATGGAATGCTTTTTGTCCAAAGGAATGCTTTGCATGAATAATTTAGCTCTGTCATGCTTTGTGGCGGCCATTTCCGTCCATGTTACTCCTCATTTACTGCAAAGAAATCCCTTGTTTAGAAGTAGATTTAGTATCTAAAGACTATTATTCTTGTCTTTGAGTCTGAGGTGAGCCTAATTGAGAAAGGTAAGAAAGTAAATATGCAAATTGTGTTTTCCTCTTGGAGCTATTTTATGCCGAATAAAGCCACGCGAAAACATGTAGCACCATTAAATTGATAGTGAGTTGCAGATGCTGTGTTAAGATGACTGTGTAGCTTATGAAGTGCCAGGAGTGGGGACTGTAAGGCTAGAGAGACGACAGTGGCTTCTCTGAAGTGCCTTACTCATCTTTCTCTTCTCCTTCACTTTTCTCTTCAGATCAAAGATCTTACTGTATTTCATGCAGTGTCCTTAGCATAAGGGCCTCCTGGTTGACTTTTTCGGTCTTTGCTGACATATGAAACTCGGCTGTCAGTTGTTATTAGACAGCACTCTGGGCCACAAGTTGTTGTTGGCCATGGGTGAGCCTCCTCCAGGAATGGCTCCCTAGACAATGTGGTTCTATGGGCAACCCCACCAATTCTGTCCCTCTAGGAAAGACTTTGAGTTTCAAGAATGGGCTTGAGTAGGATGACTCAGGGAACCTGCCATCATTGACAGTCACCATACAGAGTCTGTTGCCCAGCTGATCTGGGTAATCCAAAGGTCTTTGGAGGTTCAGAGGGATCTGCAGAATTTTTCTCTGGACTAGTGGTCAGGACCTCCCTAGACTGATCATAATTGTAGCAAGTTGCTTAGAAACGGTCCGTTATTCCAGAAGCTTTCAAGATCCCTTAGCTCTTAGGCCAATCTTATTCAAACTGATATTCTCAGAAAGGTGTTGAGGACCTGGGAGAGCTGGGTTTGTTACCTGACATGTTGGTGTCCCTTATCCTCACTCCTTTGAAAAGTGTCAGTCTCTCCATTTACCAGATTTTAGCCAGAAATTTTAGCAACTCACATACTGTGAAGTAGCAGCTGGTGAATCTAAGATGTTCTGGGACAGCCATCAAATATTTAAGTTACTAACCAGTAGACTCACAATTATTTAATACAGCAGGTAGCATTCAAATTTTAGAAATATTTCTCATTTTCTTTTCCCCCTAATATTCATTACATTTGTGGAATATATAACATTTTAAATGTGGTACAACTGAATGTGTGGTCTGAAGTTTCACCCCCAATTAAACATAGGTCTATAATTTCATTATATGTATGTAGAAGAGATTTAATTTTTCTCTCATGAAAGAACATATTAACATTCTTTAAAAAAAAAATAAACTGTTTCCTAAGAATTTCTCTCAAGATACTGTGTGAAATGCTGGTTGCCAAACCACATAGCAAAATGGTGGTGAAGACACACGTTAGAATCAAAATGGTTCCCAGGAAGTCAGTTTAGGTGCATGAGGTGATGGTAAATGTTTGGCTTCATTTATTCAGCCTGTCAAGAGACTCCCCCTCTGCTGGAATTATTCATAACTCACTTGTCCTTACCTATCTCAACAATCATAGTGTGAATAACGTTGTTATTGTTTTACTGTTGTTTACCCCCCTCTCCCTTTGTCTCCCTCCCTCCCCCTCTCTTTCTTTCAAGATCTTAGAGCAGTTGGGCTAAAGAAAGGGATGTTCTTCAATCCTGATCCTTATCTTAAGATGTCCATTCAGCCAGGGAAGAAGAGCAGTTTCCCCACCTGTGCCCACCATGGGCAGGAGAGAAGGTCTACTATCATCAGTAACACCACTAATCCAATTTGGCACCGAGAGGTAAGATGATCCTCAGGGATCTTCTACTTGACAGGAATTTGGCCTAGTTCATCTCTCTTATGTGTACTGTTGAGCTGTTTATGAGCATGGACAAGATGGCTAAGATATCTCAGGATTCTGTTAGGAAGAGTGTAGGAGGAGAATGAGACAGTCCCTTGTAGCCAGGGCCAGGAATAGGGCAAAGCAGGTGAGGTCCTTGATCTCGGGCGCGTGACTGAAGGGAGCCAGAAGACTCAATAATCAAAGTTAAGATTTTAGTGAAATATTTTAAAAAATGAAAATCAGTGCAAAAAATTCATGATGAACAGATATTAAAATTTTAAGTAAGGACAGGTTCAATAACATTGACTTGCAGAGCCATATTCGAGCCTGAAGCAGAAGGAAAAGTCAGTAACACTGATCCTGTTTTTATTTAAAATTTTTATGTTTTTACACCCAAAACTAATGTAACACTGTATAACTAACTGGAATTAAAATAAAAACTTGTAAAGCCCCCCTCCCAAATTTTCTATATTTTGTTCTAGTTATGTATTCAGTACAGATTAGAGGAATTTCTCTCCCTATGGGCTTTGGCAAATGTTTTTTGGATTTCCAGATTTTGGTTAATTAAGCCATTCAAGGTAGTTGTCATCCCGAGGGAAGCCAGATCGTTGATGTGTTGGTGATAGATACTTTGACGTTCCTTCCAGCCACATTATGCTACCAGTCATCTTAGTGCACCATATCAGTGAAATCCAGCAAAGCGTTTTCTCATTAGAACTAGGGAAAATCAAGGAGTGAACAGAGATATTGTTTCTCATCTAATGAGCAAAGCATGAACTCTGCCACCATTTCTCAGAGATCTAAGACATGTTTCACACACTGGTGTTAGAGTGTTTCTAGGTAAACCTTTATTGGCGTAGGAGTTGCATAGTTAATCAGATCATTCCCTAGTGTTTAATGACAATATGTTCTAACTTTGTAGAAATATTTCCATGGGGAGGGAGATGATTCGGGGATCTAAAACCAGTTGGAAAAAAGGTACTGCTCTTCGAGACTTGCCAGCACAGCAAGATGTTTCTCCTGAGAAGTTCTTATAGTTATTTAAATGGATTAAATATTGCATGTTTTCTTACACCTGGTTTAAAAAAACTGCTTATGATCTCCACATAGTAAAAAATTCTTAAAGGCACGCGACTTAATTTAACATATGTAGAAGCCTAGAAGACATAGCATGTATCTCACTATGAGCTTTAGAAGGCACATACTGGATTTGGTAATGATATTGGCAATAACTTTCTTTTCCTAACATTTTATATTTACAAAATTCTTAAACTTTGTGTGCATAATAAGGGCGCATAAGGGATGAGATCATCATCCATCCATTTTGATGGTTAAGAAACTGAAGCTTGAAGTGTTTATGTGACTTAGCTGTTCAGAGGCAGCTGTTCTCTTATTCTAAGCAAGTGCTTTTTCCATGAAGCAAATTACTAGATGACATGGCCCTTTGGGGAACTTTAATAGTTATGACTAAATAAACTTAGTAGTGCCTAAGTATAAAGCTGGCTGGAACCTTTCACATCACTGTGGTTGAATGGATAATATCAGGAATGGGATGAAATGATTCTGATTAGATTCCCGGCTTCATCACTTATCTGGAGATCCTCGTCCTTAAGAAGAAAATTTTATCTGAGGCACCTGGGTGACACAGTTGATCAAGCGTCTCTTGATTTCAGGTCAGGTCATGATCTCACAGTTTGTGAGATTGAGGCCTGCATAGATCCCTGCTTGGGATTCTCCCTCTCCCTCTCTCCCTCTGCCCCTTCCCTCTTGCCATGCTCTCTCTCTCTCTCCCAAAACAAACAAACAAACAAACAAACAAACATTAAAAGAAAAGAAAAGAAAAAGAAAATGTTATCTTTCTAAAGATAACATGAAGGTAATGTATGTGAAAGTCTTTGTAAACGAATAAAGCTCTTTATATTTATTTTAGATTCTTATTAATAACCAGTCTGATTTTCTCCAATGGCATTGCTAAATAAGCAAAACAACAAAACTTATGTTAGCTTCATATTTTTATTTTTCTGTCTCAGAAGAAATGACCCTGTGTGTCTTTTAAATTAAGTAATTTGCCTTTAAGCATCGTTTTATTTTCATATTTGTCAAAAGAAACCACAGTATTCTGTAGGTGTTCCTACTTTAGCCACTAAGTGAAAGATATTTTAACCTATGCTGTATAATTTCAAAATACCATGGGATTAAGAATTAAAATTGTTGTTAATCAACTACAGTGGTTAATGTGAAATTGTCCAATAACAGGATATTAAATTTCAAAGAATTGAGATACAATAAATATAGTAAGTGCTAAAATTGTATTGTGCAGTTTAACATTTGATAACGTCTCCTAAAACTGTTGAACCAGGATCCTAAGCTTCTTTTGTGACAGGTCCTTAACTGAGGCCTTGTAATCACTGTGAATGCTGATCATTCACTCAGAATGACAATGGTTGTAGATATTTCTAGCAATGTGGACTCTGGGTGTCGTCATTAGGATTTGAGAGAGCCCATTTTCTAAGTAATAATAAAATGATATAATTTCATATTTGTCTTCCTTTTGAATCACCACGTTATCTGTTTTTATTTTCAGAAATATTCCTTTTTTGCGCTTCTTACTGATGTCTTGGAAATTGAAATTAAAGACAAATTTGCCAAGAGCCGTCCTATCATCAAGCGTTTTCTGGGGAAACTAACCATTCCAGTCCAGAGGTTGCTGGAGCGGCAAGCCATTGGGTAATCAGCCCCCACTTGGAGGGATCTTGTTGAGATTAGTTTGCATAGAGGTGACTGAAATGAAACTTTGTAGTCCTAGGACTTATCTTAGTGATAAGAAGTGGTAAGGTAATTCTTTTAAAATTAAAGTGTTCGTATACTCATTAAACTGTGCGGGACAGAAGGCTCTGTTTTCATTATATACCTTTTTTGTTGTTGTTGTTTCTGTTTATTGTATCTGTCTTTTCCAAGATGTGCTTACCATTAGCATGTCAGTGTCAGATGTCATAGTACTCAGTTGTTTTTGAGGATATTGAAATCTTGCAGTAAAAGCTTCTCCCCAGAGCCGGATTCCAGCTTCAGGTCGACAGCTCCCTTATCCTAATTAATCCCATCCAGACAACTCGTTATTCCTGAAAAACAAAACCACCTTGTTTCAGGGCCATTTAAAACAAGACCTTGACTCACAGGAGATATTATAGTAAAGCTCCTACCTACACATTCACTCAGGCAACTAAAGTTTACTCACTGAGAGAATTTTAAAATGTGATTTGATGTCTGTTTTCTTTCTATGAGCTTTTTGTAAACTGTGAATAAAGTAGTTAAATCATAACATCGCTTATCATAAATGGTAGGTATATTTTTGCTTGGTAGTTTCCAACAAACTCAATAATACTGCTGCTCTGAGGTAGCACTCAGGGTACTTTTCTTGTATCTTTTTCATCGTAGGCAACCTTGTGAACATACCGCAACAGTAACAGTGGTAGTGGTGATGGGGCATCTTGTTTTGTATCTTTTTCACTGTCAGAACATGAACAAATGGTAGTGGCAGTAACAGTAGCAGCAGCAGCAGACTATAAGTAGTAGCAGCAGAAGTAAAAAATAAAAGTAAACAGCGTAAGAAGATGCCGAGGGCTTATTCTGTGTCGGGTTAAAGACGTTCCTCGCATCAGCCCCCGTAATCTTCTCAACAGCTCTGGGAGGTAAATAATGTGATTACACCCATTTCAGAGATGAGGAATGTGAGGCTAGCAAGCAAGAGGCAGAGCTGGGATGCGAGTTCAGATCCCTCTGCTCTAGATCCTGGCAGCGCCCTAAGGATGGGCAGCAGTGTGATATTATTCCAGCTAACTAAGGAAGGCTGGTCATTCACATTCACTCTGTAACAAATGAACTGTTCTGTTTCGCAAGTCATAATTTACTTGGGCATTAGTTTCCTCATCTGAAAATTACAGTGTTGTGATCAGTGGATCTCAAAGGCCCCTTCAAAATCTGAAACCAAGAGATTCTAATGGATTGTAATTCTCTGGCCATCAGAGACCATGAAATGTGTGGTTGAGCCAGGACACATGAAGTAGAAATATTATACTGAAATCTTAGCAGCCTGATTTATCTGATAAAAGCTAGGAAATCACAATTATTGCTTCTGGTAGAGATACTATACTTGAGGAAGTTTTTTAAAAGTTATTTTTAGGATTTCTAGAAAGTGAAAGATTTTAGAGAGTCAGAATGAACTAGGGTAAATACAGTATATCTGTCATTTAATGTATATAATTATAATCATATAATTTATATATCACGCTTGCTAAAAGTATGAATTTATGTACACCAGTAAGAATGATCAAGGCAAAATAAAACCTTTTCAGTGCATGAAACTTGTTGACTTGTTGGCTTTTCATTTCAGCTTTTAAACAACTGGACACTTAGAGAACTGCCAGTCATGAATTTATGTGCACTGGAAGGAAGTCCAGAATGAATTTGTAAAATATTGGAATTATGAAATGTTTCTGTATAAGTATATTTAAAGCATTGCCTGATACAGATACTTGGGGATTTGCTTTATTAGATAAGAATGACACTACATACTAGTATGTCAGCTGTTAACACCTAAATGTGTATTCCTGATCTGATGATTGCCTTCCATCAAGTGATTAATTCATCTTGAAAAGTGCTGGGTTCTCATTACTTATATGTTTGGTACATTGCAATCCTCTGAGGTAGTTGAGATTTTACAGAATGTGGTTTGTAGAATGAGATAGAATCCTTACTAAGTGCCTATTTTGAAGGCATTTGTTTGAATGTAACATTTTACAGGGTGGCCTGCGTTTGTCCAAAATGCAGATCACTTTCCCATGCTTTGTCAACCCCTCTGATTACATTAGAAAGAGAATGTCTCAAGTAGTGAGAGTACTTTGGCACTTATTCTTTGCAATTATGTATCATAATGATACATAATATATTGCTCACAACAGTATATCACAGGAAGAGACAGGATGAGTCAGGTAAGACTGGGTAAGAACGAGAAGGCAGGTGACTCTTCCGACAGGCACTCAGCAAGGGATGAAACCCTTGACTCGGAATCTCCCAGGAGGGAAGATTTCCTGTATTTGTAGGTTGAATAGTTGAATTGAGTTATCTTGCCAGTTTGGTAAATAAACAGTACTAACACTTGTTAAAATTCTTCTTTCCGAGTAAAGAGTCTCATTTGTTAATTAATTTATTCAACAAATATGTGTGTATGCATATTTAGTGTCTTCGAAATGTTAAGCACTGTGTTTGGTATCGGGGATATGTCAGTGAGCAAAACAGATGGATGCAGTTCTTTCTTACAATTCCTACTAAACTCTTATTTCCTCGCTAAAATCCATCACTTTTATAAATCTTCATCATCAGCCTCAATACCTTAATTTTACTGGCTGAGGAGGAGAAGAGGAGGGTCAATTTATTTTTAACAGAGAAATGAAGATTTTATTTTTGCCAGGACTTAATACCCGAAGAGATGGGCGAGGAACCACAGTGTTAAAGGCAGGTCCGTGTAATGTGCTGCTAGATTCATGCATTAGTGGGCAAAGATCAAGAACCTCTGTGTGTTAGGTGCTATCTAAATACTGGGAAGTCAGTGGTAAGAGAAAGAAAGAGACGCCCCTGCTATTATGCAGATTACAATCATTATATAACGTTATTTGAACACTCTAATGTAAAAGTAACGTAACTATGTCTAGTAGTAAGGAATGCCTGTGTATCCCTTTGCAGAATTTTTTGTAAATACCAGTTGAAGCAGGAAAAGCATTATAAAAGCAGGCATGTTTCGATGAACCATGAGTAAATTATGTCATTAAAATGCATGCTCCCGAAAGCAGCCTAGAACCACTGGGAATATGTAAAGTGAGATGGTAGTATGATGACTACAGAGCAGGGGCTTCTGTGTCAGATGAATCTGTGATCTCATCCTGGGTCTGTCGCTCATTACTAGTCTGGCCTCGGACAGGTCACTTACCCTCCCCACGCCTTGGTTTCCTGTTCTAGAAAACAGAGCCAGCACCTGCCTCACGCAGTTGCTGAGAGATGGTATATGCACAGCCCTTAGCTGAGTGTGCCTGGCACACATCATGCACTCAAAGTGGGAAACCAAAGTGTCAGTTGAGAAAGAAAATATGACAATGTTTCTAGGGAAGAAAAGCAAAAGAAAGAAGAAAAGGAAATCATCTTACAGTTTTAAGAAATTCTCATGAAGTCAGAAGACTAACAGCTGAAGTGGGGTTTTATAGTAGCCTGTGCTCTTTTAAATGGATGACATCCATTTGGAATTGTGCCAAGAAGGTAGAGACGAACAAACAAAATAGTTACATACATTCATAACAAATGGCAGACCAGAGGCTCTAAACTGTACCGTGGTGCAGGTATTAGGTCGAGGCATTGTTTTCCTTCTGAAGTTGCCAGTAGAGGGCAGTGTGAGAGCAGAGATGGCGTGATTTGGTATCCCTTTGATTATTTTCCTTAATTAAGAATACATCAGATTCAGAATGAAAGTTGCTTCCTACAAGGTAATGATGTAATTGCATTTGACTTCGATCAAACAAATGCAGAATTACAAAAGATTTGACACCTCCATCCTTAAGGAGGCTGGTAGCTGGAGTGGGGGGCCAAGATGGGGCCCTGGTGTGGTTCCCTCGAGTACGCCTCTTAGTGAGGCAGCAAGATGCCTCCACAGCAGCCCATCTAGCTTCTCCACTGGCATCACTCACAGCGCACACTGGGAATCAGTTGATAGGCAGGCTCCCCCAGTGTGAGGGCCAGCCGCTCCAGCCCCCTTGCTCTGCAGGTAAGGAAGGGAGGTTCAGTGGCCCCCTTGCCTCCCACAGCTGGAGCAGCTGTCAGAGGCAGCCACTTCTCCCCCCGCTGTCTCCTGACTTCAAGTACAGTAGCATGGTGCCCTCCGTGCCGCTCTGTGATGGTCCTTCCCTGTTGTGTGCTCGTAGGATCGGTTTCTTCCAATTGTGCTAAATGCTAAGGAACCAGGCCCTCTGTGCTTTTATACCTGAGTCAAAAATACCAAAAACCGTAGACCTTTCACAGCTCCTTGATGACCTTCAAAATATGCTTTTCTTGGTCACTGTTAGCAGTGATGTGATACTGTATTGCATTTTCTGCTTACAGAGTTCTTTTCATCCTGGAGTTTATAAGTATACCCTTGTGCCAATGAATCGTATTACATTGGACTATCTATACCGTGCCTTTGAGCCTTTTATTTTCTTTTGAGTCTGAAAGTTTTAAGAGAAATGTGTAAGATTTGGGGGTGGCCTGCTGAAGGAGGTGAAGGCTGACACCAGTGTATTTCTCCTCTTACAGGGATCAGATGCTCAGCTACAACCTTGGCCGAAGGCTTCCAGCTGACCACGTGAGTGGGTACCTCCAGTTTAAAGTGGAGGTTACATCTTCTGTGCATGAAGGTGAGATGTCTGGATAAGTACATCGCTGTACCAAAAACTGTTTGGTCTTACTCAGTTGTCAGTTTGCATGTGAATAGAGTTGAATTTGTGTCCTGTTCTGAAAATAAGATCGCTTTTATTTATTTTTTTTAATTTTTTTTTTCAACGTTTATTTATTTTTGGGACAGAGAGAGACAGAGCATGAACGGGGGAGGGGCAGAGAGAGAGGGAGACACAGAATCGGAAACAGGCTCCAGGCTCCGAGCCATCAGCCCAGAGCCCGACGCGGGGCTCGAACTCACGGACCGCGAGATCGTGACCTGGCTGAAGTCGGACGCTTAACCGACTGCGCCACCCAGGCGCCCCGTGAAAATAAGATAGCTTTTAAATGATTACTGCCAAAGTTTTCCAAGCAGATATGAAAGCTTGTTTATCAAAAAATATCTCTTAGGTTTATGCCTACATTTGGAAACCAGGCTATAGAATTTCTAGTAATAGTGAACATATATAATTCCTGTGTCAAAGTGACCAACTCATTTAGTCGTGAGTGGCTAATCTTAGCAAATCAGTAATACCGTAAAGAGACCTTAATGGGATGATTGAATTGTTGAACTGATTGGTGGTAAAGGAATAGGACATTAAAAGTTTGTTATTACCACTTTGTTTTTATCAATGCCGTTTTCCCCTTCAGATGCTTCTCCAGAAGCTGTTGGCACAATACTTGGAGTCAATACTGTGAATGGAGACCTAGGAAGTCCTTCTGACGAGGAGGACATGCCGGGGGGCCATCATGACAGCACGCTTTGCTCTAATGGGCCAGTTTCTGAGGACAGTGCTGCTGATGGGACCCCCAAGCATTCTTTCAGGACTAGCTCTACTCTGGAAATAGACTCAGAGGAATTAACCTCTACTTCTTCAAGGACCTCACCTCCCCGAGGACGTCAGGATTCGCTCAATGATTACTTAGATGCTATTGAACACAATGGCCATTCCAGGCCAGGCACGACTACCTGCTCGGAGAGGTCCATGGGAGCCTCTCCAAAACTAAGGAGTAGTTTTCCCACCGACACGAGGCTCAACGCAATGCTTCATATCGACTCAGATGAAGAAGACCACGAGTTCCAGCAAGACCTGGGATATCCGTCTTCTTTGGAGGAGGAAGGAGGGCTAATAATGTTCAGCAGAGCGTCAAGAGCTGATGACGTGAGCCTGACATCGCAGACCAAGCCAGAAGACAACCCAGTGGAGATTGAGGAAGCCTCCACAAATGAGGCTGCTTCCTTTGAGGATAAGCCAGAACATCTTCCCGAGCTTGCAGAGGGCTCCTTACCCTCGGGCCCAGTCCCAGATGAGAGTGAAAGTGGCCCAGAGTCTCAACCAAGCGCTGAGCAGGGCAGCACCGAATTGTGTGGCTCTCAAGAGGTGGATCAGCCCACGAGCGGGGCAGACACAGGGACTTCCGACACGTCGGGAGGAAGCCGCAGGGCCATCAGTGAGACCGAGTCCCTGGATCAGGGGTCTGAGCCTTCCCAGGTGTCCTCTGAAACAGAGCCCAGTGACCCTGCCAGGACAGAGAGCGTGAGCGAGGCCAGCACCAGGCCGGAAGGCGAGAGCGACTTGGAGGGCGCCGACAGCTCCTGCAATGAGAGCGTTACCACGCAGCTGTCCTCGGTGGACACGCGGTGCTCGTCTCTTGAGAGCGCACGGTTTCCCGAAACCCCAGCCTTTTCTTCTCAGGAGGAGGAAGATGGAGCCTGTGCAGCAGAGCCCAGCAGCAGTGGCCTCGCTGAGGGGTCACAGGATTCCATACGTACTCCCAGTTCTTTACCTGTGGTGCAGGTGCCCGCTGGAGAGGAGGAAGGGGCAGGGGCAGACTCGGCCCCTTTACCTAACCAGGAGGAGATCGGAGAGGTCTGGCAGCGGAGGGGGAGCTTGGAAGGAGCTGCTGCTGCTGAGAGCCAGCCCCAGGAAGAAGGGGATGCCGGGGATGCCCACGGGGCTTGTGAAGGGGCCACTGCCCAGGAGGAGGGCGCCACCGGAGGTAGGATGTACAAGACGGCACGGCTCTTGGCTCCAGCATACTGCTTAAAGAGAAGTTTTGTCCCTCGATGTAAATTATACTGCAGGTCACATGTTCTCTGAGTTCTTCACCTTGGGGTTCAACAGTTAGCTTTTTTTTTTTTTTTTAATGGATCTTCTCTTTTTAAATTAAGAGGCTTGTGAAATAGCAGTCTTCAGATTTTAATCATGAATCTCCAGTGGGACCTGAGGTTGTAGACACAAAACCAAACAGGCGAGTAGCTTTCACATCAGTGTAATCTGCAGGGGTTTGCAGGAACATCGTAAGTCACTCTTCTTTATATAAAACCTTCAAAACAGAACTTCATATGTACTTTGCATCAAGTGTAATATTTTTGACTTCTGCAGTATGGAAAAAGTGAACTAAGTTAGGTGATGCGTTCGGAACACTTGAAGAAAAGGCTATTTTTAGTATCTCAGGATGCCAATTCACACATAAAATTTGTATTATGTCTCAATGAATGTGGCTTGGTAGAATGTTTCCTTTGAAATGTTCTATTACAGATGTATCAGAAAGGCTGAGGATAATTTCAAATGCCTAAATAGCATAGAATCAGAAATAGGAATGATTTATTTATTCTGTAATTTATTTTTCTACCTAAATTATCCCCTTCTCCTCCTCTTCTCCTTTTATTTGTGTTTTTGTTTCCTTCATTATCTTGTGGCCATTATGTGACCCTAAAGCATTAGTGCATGAGTGGGTCCAGCCAGGGTGGAAAAAGGTGGGGGAGGGAAGGGATAGGTGCAGAGGGACATTTCTCTAGAAGACCCTCTTCTGCCTAAGCATTCATCTCCTATTTTCTTCTTTTGTTTCTGGGTCCTCATGTGGAAAATGAGAGACACTAAGGAAAGAAAAGAGACTAGCTCCAAGATTTATGTTAGGTGGTTTTTGTTTGTTTGGTTGGTTGGGTTTTGTTTTTTTTTTTACAAGACTGTTTTGATACTAAAGAGGAAAACAATACCCAAGTGCCTTTTTCTCTTTAATCCTAGGTTCTCAAGCCAATGGCCACCAGCCATTGAGATCACTGCCTTCAGTACGCCAGGATGTTAGCCGATACCAGAGGGTGGACGAGGCTCTTCCCCCAAGTGAGCACCTGTGAACTAAGGGGTTCCCCTTGATCAGAGGGTGCAAGGATGGCGGGCAGATCCTTTCCACAGAACCTAAGAGATGGAAACCCACTCCCTGAGAGGAAGGGACCTTGGGGCTGCCACTTGACATAGCAGATGTAGTCTGGAAAGTGCTAAGCTGGTGACTCCTCTCTGGCACTGTTCTGCCGAACGAGCGGGCAGCTGGGGGAAAAGTAAATACTGTAATGCCCACAGAGTAAATATTGTAATTGGGGAAACAGATCCAGATATTTGGGACAATTGGGTTTATAATAGAAACTTTTTAAAATTATGCCTAATGGCAGCAAGAATTTTCAGTTAGTAGACAAATGGGTACAATCTCTTAGCAAAGCCTCACTCTATGGAATATACTTCTCTCTCTTAACAGCATTTTAAATCATTAAATACAGGGCTCTGATTTTTTCCTTGGGGATATGCAGAGAACTATTCATAATTTCAGAAATTGGTCTACCATTGATTTGGCACGTGACAATTACTGGGGATTTGAAATATATGTTATTTCTTTCACTTTCATTTTTCACTTTGAAGGAGGGATGGCTGAGAATGAGGGATTCTGGGAAATAGTTATGCAACCTGTATCCAAAGGTTAGAGTGATATGGCCAGTCATAATCTGGACATAATTTAAACTCTGTTATAAAGTGATATTGCTCTGTAAGAGCAAGCATTTTGATGAACAGTAGCAAAGCTCAGTAAATACTGCTTGTAGGAACGTACTGGAGTATGTATCTTTCTGCCTTATTGCTTTTCCTTCTTATTCACCCTCTTTACTCTCCCATCTTATATGTGACCATAGCAAGAAGCTGATGCCCTTGGCTTTCAGTATTTTAAAAGTGGTGGGGCAGAAAGGTAGAGATGCAGGAGTATGCATTTATAGAGTTAAAATGCTGAGTGCTTTGTTTTGAGGAGTGTTAACAAAAAAGCTGAATGGTACTATGATAATAGGCCAAAATATTGGCTTGATCCTTTGGAAATTCTGTTACGTACAGTTCCTCCCCTTGTTCATATATTTCAATAATTGAGGGTGGTTACTTATAGGAAGTATGTATTTTAAGCAACTTTTAAAAATAGACCAAGGGATTAATTAACCACTGTATCATTTTAAGCAGATGGGAGAACAAAAATATCCTTATTGCTTGCCCTTGGAGAAAAGATTAGAGGCAGAAAAGGAAAGTATTCCTCGGAGATGCTTCGATATAATAGGAAAAAATGAATTGGGAACATGAGGAGAGAATTCTGGAGAGCTTTCTTTATATGTGTATGTGGATTAATAGTAAGTCATTCGAATTTTAGAGGCATTGCATCACATCAGGGTATAGATAAATGGCATCTTCCTGGCCACATCTAATTACTCTGAATTTTGTTGAACCATAATTTTGGTTTTCAGATTATAACTAATAAAGACAGGTACTTTCCCGCTGAAATTATGACCACTGTTTGTGGTATTTCAATGCACTTATTTAAGTACTGATATTTGCATTACACAGAATGTATTTTAGGATTAATAAAAAACAACTGGCAGTTTATTTTAATAGGTTGTTATCTCCCACAGCAAAGAAGGAATTTAATAGTATATCTAATTTAATGAATGACTGATGAAGAGGAGAAAAATTCTTTTTTAAGTTTATTTATTTATTTTGAGACAGAGAGTGTACAAGGAGGGGCAGAGAGAGAGGGAGAGAGAGAGAGAATCCCAAGCAGGCTTTGCACTGTCAGCCCAAGGAGCCCGATGCTGGGCTCGAACTAACGAACCCGTGAGACCATGACTTGAGCCGAAACCAAGAGTTGGGTGTTTAACCAACGGAGCCACTCAGGCACCCCAGAGGAGAAAACTTTTTAATTCCTCTTATGCAACTTGCAAATACGGGGGTTTATATTATCAAGGAGAGGTTACAGATTACGGTCAGAGCATGCCTGATTACTCTCCCCACACTGAGCATGCCTGATTACTGTCCCAACATTGTTTTGCCCTCTCCTACTCCTATGTCTGTCTCTTCTTTTCAATAGTTTATTTAATCACCTGGCTGCCCTGCTAGTTGTCTATCCCCAACGTAGTCAGTTCTCTGCCTTCCTTTCCTAACTGGGCGACTCTACGACAGCCTCTGACTTTGAGCTATGGCCTTCCATATTCCACACTGTCTTGTGCCTTCTGCCTTCATGCAGCATCTCCCAGGAGGCTCAGCTAAGGGGCACCTGCTTGGAGTGTACAGATGAGTCCTTCCCTTAAATGACCTGGCTGAGTTATTTTAAGGCTAAGAGTTGTATTTAAAAAAAAAAAGTTTATTTATTTGAGAGAGAGAGAGAGAGTCAGAGAAAGAGAGGGGAGAGAGAATCCCAAGCAGGCTTTGCAATGTCAGTGCAGAGCCCAATGGGGCTCAATCTCATGAACCGTGAGATCATGACCTGAGCTGACATCAAGAGTCAGATGCTTAACTGACTGAGCCACCCAGGTGCCCCTTAGAATTGTACTTTTAACACTATTAATTATAATACTTCAAACTTGCATGGTGCTTTACAGTTTACAGAGCACTTTTACATGCTTTTGAAATTTTTATTCTTTGTTACATTTTTGTGGGGTCGGTCAAGTGGATCAATAGGTAGAAACTGGCTAAAATGATTCTTTCATTTTATAGATGGAGAAACTGAAGCCCAGATAAATTAAGTAACTTGTTTAAGATCCCATACTAGTAAAAGTTGGGGCAGTCTTAAGCCTTCCTTCTCTATTAGATATTCTGATCTAAGATTAGACTGTTGTGTGGGTTGATGAGTATAAATTCTAAAAGTTTACTTAGCAGCAAAGGTAGTGGCTTATATTGTGGTATGTTATCTATCAGGTGCAAACAGCATCTTAAATCAGAGGCTTTGGAGGTTTCACTAAAGCTTTATTATGTTGTAGTGTTTTGAGGCCAGACCTAGGAAGGCTCAAAAAATGCTCAATTTTCTCTCTTTTTGCCCCAGCTAATCAACTGACTAGCTGATTTATTTTGAGAGAGAGAACTCAGCAGGACTCTTACCTAGGAGCCCCTGAAGTGTAAGAAAAGCCGTTGTAGTGACCATATGAGCATAGCCCAGACAGGTTTGCTCTGTTAAGCATCTGTATCAGACTCAGAAGCACTTTTTCTTCTCCCCAGCCAGGTAGGGCCAGCTACTGACACATTGTGTCTTAGACTTTGATACCCCCTCACCCCCATTATTGATTTTTTATTTTCCTAATTGTTTTTGTTATTTGAGCTTACTTTCCCCTTAAAAATACTTACGTATTACCATATGGCGAGGAAACCACCCAGCAAGCTTGCGCTTCTCTCTGAAGATTTACAAACTCAGCTAGGGGGATTCAGTGGTGTCCCTTGCTGTACTGCTTCCCTGTTACAGCTGATCACGTGGTGGTCTACGCATCAGTGTTATAACTTAGTCTCTGAACATCTCTTTGAGCTCTTCTTATGGACGGCAGTTCTCCTGGCTTTTCTGCTGCTTCTTCCAGTCTTACTCCTCCTGTCTCAGGATCGGGGAACTTGTCTTGGACTGACAAAGATTGCACAGCTGTAAAGATGTTCGACCAGTTGTTTTCACAGCCTTACCCTTGCTTTAGGCCGTGGATCCTGCGATAGGACCTTGTGGACTGGGTAACTCTAACCTCTGACTGACAGATGGTCTAAGGGTCCCTACAACGTCCTAAGAACCGCCCCCTCCCGCCCCCACAGCGTCCTAAGGGCAGCTTGGCAGTATGGAGAGCCTTTGGCTTAAATCTGAATATGCACTGAGCACTTTAAGAATGTGCTTATCTTCTTCTGAGGTGATTGATGGTGCTGGCAGCTGGAGGCAGTTCAGGCTGAAGCCCACCAGAACATCATCAGCAAGACAAATCTTGGTCATTTTAGCATTAACATAAGCGGAAAGAAAAAAGAATGGCTCGCTTAGCCCCTTCTGAAAAACGATTTTATTTCTCCTCCTGGGTCCAATATAATTGTCACTTAATCCCTTGCTGCACTGGGGACAATAAAGAACTATCGAGTAAGTGTTTTCCCTCTAAAAGGTAGGAATAGGATTAGATACAAGATGAACAGTCTGGATTATCAGACTCTTGTAGGATCCCAGGATTATTGCCATGTTGTTAGGATTAGTGTATTATTTAGGGGGTGGCTTCCAATGGGTAGGTCTGGAAGAACGCAGGAGAATGTTTATCATTCTTTGTGGTTGTGCACTTTCATTATTAAAGCATCCTTTGACATGAAGGTTTAAAAAGACGGCAGTGACTCTGAAAGGTATAATTAATCTCACTTTCTACTATGTTCAAGGCTAGGAGCTCTAATTTTCTAAAGCTTAAAAGTTAGTTTTATGAGAGGAGAATTGATGCTTTTTTTTTATTAAAAAATTTTTTTTCTTGATGTTTTTATTTATTTTGGAAGGAGACAGAGACAGAACATGAGCGGGGGAGGAGCAGAGAGAGAGGAAGACACAGAATCTGAAGCAGGCTGCAGGCTCTAAGCTGGCAGCACAGGGCCCGACACGGGGCTCGAACTCACGAACTGTGAGATCATGACCTGAGCTGAAGTTGGACACTTAACCGACTGAGCCACCCAGGCACCCCAAGAATTGATGCTTTTAATCTAAAAGCTACTTTCTTTAAAAATTGACCCATCATATTAAGGCCCACCATATGCATTTGTTTGAGAGATTTTTAAAAACTTTTTGTTTAAACATAGTGTACACACAGAAAAGAGCACATTCTCCCTGCTGAATTCTCCCAAACTGAGGGCATGTGTGCACTGGATGCCATGTCACTGGCACCCAGAAGTCTCTTTGTGCCCCCTTCCGATTACTGACCCCCACTCCTGAAGGGGAAGTGAACCTACCATGCTGACCCTCAAGTCACCGAGAAGTTAACTTGCTTTTGTACTTGGTACAAACGGTTACCTCCTTGAGTGTCAAAATAAGGAAAAACTAATCTTTTAAACGTTGT